ATGTAACTAATGCCATGACCACACTGTTTTACTTTAATATTTACTGAGTATGCACTAAAACGTTCTTGTGGGAAGTAAACTGTCTCGTAAGGCGTATTCCATTTCAATTCCAACGTCAGCTTCATATGACGCGCTCTAACTTCGCAAACGAGGCTCTGGTTACCAAGCCACTGCGACACGCAATCACAGAGGTGAAGAAAATTCCTCCGCCAAAATTGAGGTTAGCGTATCAGATTTCAGGCTGTCATGGCGGTCAGGGTCCACGCTGCGGTTTTCTGAGTCTTACAAGGAATTACCAACGTATCGGAAAAAACATACTTCTTCCACCATCACGATCAAGAACAAAGCGTTCATGTTTTGTTAACCTTATTAGCCCGGCTAACACTTTGAAAAAAAAAGTGATAGTGGAACCACGGTTCCGGAGAATTAGACGGAAAGGAAGTTTATATATTGGCTTTATTCTAAATATTTCCTTTATACATGTTTTACAATTGAGATAAGTTTGATTAAGACTTTGCTTATTTAACTTGAATTAGTTACGCTTAAGATGTGTCTGTGGTAGCTGAATGTAATGTAAAGTAATGTAATGAAATGAAATGTTTTATAGGTAACAACAATGCCGAGTAATGTAACGTTTCCTAGGTAACAACAATGCCGAGTTAACAATTGACGTTTCCTTGGTAACATAACAATGCAGTTACACTTTTTCGTTTCACTTTTTGCCGAATGACACTGACCCGAAAATATAGACGTATTTACGTCAAAAATGTCTTCCGTGTTACTATTGTGGTTCAGCGTTGTCAGCCACGTACTTGAGGGACTTGCAGCGAGTGACCTGTCTGCAGATGGCAAACGACGCAGTGTACTCAGTATCAATGAACCACGAAGAGCAGAAGACTTCTTCCAGGTTCTCACCGCTGCGCGTATGATGGCTGTCTTCTGGGTCGTTACGCCGTGTAGTCTGGTAGAAGTCTACCGACGTTTCAGACATGCTTGGTGCATGGCGCAACAGTTCAGAATCCAGCCATCTTCAGAGAATATAACGTAACTGTCAAAAGTTACGTGTTTGGATACGGAGGTATACGTACCAAGCACAAAGCGAGAACACTTGCATGATCTAACGCTAACTTTTTCAGTCTTGAGTGGATTCACGTTAAGCACACAATCCACGCAATTCATACTTCAGCTACAGAGCCACAGATGGGTTCACACAGCACGACTACGTGCCCCCAGACACATGTGGAAACCTTTTATTTAAATTGCATCTATTCTTAAGTAAACTTCGCCAAACCAGAAACCTCTTTTATTATATATATATATGTGTGTGTGTGTGTATATATATATATACACACACACACGTTTTTCGGTCTCCCGTTACCTACCTACCCTTCCGACCGTCTGCATTTTCCCTTCTAGCCGCAAACCTCCTTCACTCATCCCCTTATGCACATCAGACTTTCTCCCCCTTCTATGCAAAACATGGACACACACAAAATCCTCTTACACAGTCAGTAATTGCGATTTATATTTTATGCCGTTTTGTTTTCAACACGATGATACCCCCTGGCGGCTTAATTGGCCAGAAAGAGACTACCAAAGGCTTTCCTGCCCTAAAGCTGTAGCGGCTAGCTCAGCGAGTCAACCTTTCTCGTGAATATATAGCACACACTCGGATCAACTTCACTTTGACTACAGAAATGTTACGTCACATGCTTATTTTTAATTTATATAGTTCATAATCCCATACTGCGTTGCTGTGAACACTAAGAAATTTGCTGTTTAACTTAACAAACTCCTCCTCATGCATATGAAAACTGACTAGTTGATTCAAAACGTATTCAGGTGGGAACGTAATATTCATAAGAGTACAAAGCTTTTTTCTCTTTCTTCCTAAGGAAAGAAGTCTAAAAAAGATTTCGTAACATCTATCGTCTCTTCATCTTCATAACCCGGTAATAAACACACTACATATTTATTTGTTTAAATCGTCAGTCTAATCACAATAAAATTCCTTTTAAATATTACCATAATTAACATTTAAGTATTTAAAATATATTAAATGATTTAATTTTAATATTTAAATGTTAATTATGGTAATATTTTAATATTTAATAGGAATTTTATTGTGATTAGACTGGCGATTTAAACAAACAAATATATATTTATCACAATATGACGCAATTTTATCATCACACTATATATTTTAAAACTGCGTTACAATAGCGAAGAACACCCGATTAAAAAGCCTATTCTTTTATAAAAACATAAAACAATGTTCTTCAACTTCACTACTAATTATGGACGTGCTAAAATACGATTTAAAAGAGAGAGTGAATTGTTCAAATTGGTCCGATTGTCCTTTCGATCCATAATAAGCGGAATGATTTTAAGCTCCTTTATATTAATCCAGGTCCAAATTTTTTCTTCCCCGGGGCTGAGAATTGTCTTCCCGTTAGACACCAAGAGCCAAAAAACAGCTACTGACACGATTTTTAAAAACTAAAAGACAATTTTCGTTATCTTTAACAACACTCATCCAAAAACTTCAAATTACCACATTATACGCTCAAATATACATTTTACTAAAACGTACACAAATTACTATACACTTTACTATTCAAATTTGTTCCTGCATGAACTTTCACCTAGAAATTTTTTCCTTGAAAACTTTCATTTAACTCTAGGGTTTTAAAGTCAACGGGATGTGTGGTACTTGGACGTGAACCGACAGACGAGATAGGAAACAAGACATTTTTAAAAAAAAATACCTCGGAGTATACAAGATAAATAAACTTCCAGTAACTAGTAACAAATTAACAAAAATATCTCCGCCCTCGTTATAGGTCATCTCGGGCCGGATGTGGCCCGCAGGCCGCCACTTTGACCTCGCTTTACTAGCTTCTGTTCACAAATATTACTGTTTTCCAAATCAAGATGTCAGGTTACATTTTCAATAAGGCCTTAGACTGATATTCATTTACAGTGGGCATAGACGGGGGTGGTTTTGTCCAATCGCTTGGTAACAGAATCGTCACATAAGCAACCGAATAATTACGAAGGCAAAAAAAAGGGGGGACAACATTTTCAACTTGTACGCACAAACGGATAGAAAACGAAACGAAACACAGTCCAAATTTAGTCAATGCACAAAAAACTCAAGTGCTTTTATTCTGTAATTCACCGGGGGACCACAGACACGCATAAACCAAGTCAGAACAGCCCAGACTAATCTTCCGTCAGATCTATTTCGCCAGTTCGCCCCGAGCCTGCCTCTAAATGCGACGGAAAGAAGCAGACACTGCAGACATTTTCCAAGACTGGTCCCATGAGGTTTATGCCAGTTCCGCTCGACGCCTGTCTGTTTCTCCTTTCTCCCAGCGCAATCATCTTCGTGAATGCATCCCCATAATACCCATAATGCATTGTTCCGTATATATCGCTCCATAATTGTTATGCCCAACAAAACAACAGCAAAACGTTTACAGTGCTGACAACCGTTCCACTACATAAATCGCCGCCTAAGCTGGTTCTGTTTTAAAGAAGTCTTCCACAGAGTTGTGGGATTCAAAAGACACCATCTCCTATTTTCAGGAGCACTCAAATTCAGATCTATTTTGAACATGGTAAGATTTCAGGTTCTCACGGAAGCGAATATAAATATGGCTATCCTCCGATATGTTACGCCGTGTAGTATTAGAAGTATACCGACGTTTCAGACATGTTGCTTCCCTGATGATAAAGGCAACAAGCAACTCTGAAACGTCGGTAAACTTTACCAGACTACACCGCGCAACGTCCCAGTAGACAGTCACCTCTTTTTAAAATGAACGTCACAAACAAAAAGACGCGAAATCCAGCATCTATTCTGAACACATTATTACAACGCCCACTCAATTCTATTAATAACAACTTAAACTTTCAACTTTACCGTCTAAGTCTCTTGTGAAACGCCTGGAAAATAAAAACTTTGACTGCCTTTCCTTGAAGGATTCTAGTAGAATTTTTCCCATGGCAATTATTCAGAGAAAACGCGAAGCCTCTCGGTTGGAGTGGGCCGTCTATGTACATCAGAAGCAAAGCCCTGCATTCCGTTTACTCTACGGTTCATTTAATTAAATCACAGAGTTCTTCTACTTATTTTTCGTTGCAGAAAACGAAACAGCAAAAACTTGAAGCATACTACAGGTTCATTCGTAGCATATTTTAATTTCATTACTACAGACGAAACCTCGTTTTCCGTCGCTAATGTTTATTTAATATTTCATATGTTTTATATTTTAAAAGTTAAAGTAAAATACACTGTTACAGAGGTTTTAATACAGCAAATAGCTTGCTCTTGACGAAACAAATTAATAAGGAATAGAGAAGCCTCCAAGACACCTCCGCAAATACGACGTTCGGAGTCAGCGCTGAGAAACCCTCCACACGCGTTCAAACTATGACCCCACAAAAATTATCAAGACAGAAAATCCTGTCCATAATTCTCCCTGTGTGGCTCAGCTGAAACCGCTTCGTGTGGACTTCATCTACAGCCACAACAAAGTGGACCGATATCACTTCCCCCAACAATACCAATCACCTGATAATACATTATCGTCGACCTACATCTCCCAGTAAATAGTTTGCGTTATTATAATACCTACATCAGTCCGTGTGAGACGCTATCTTTAAAGCAATATCGTAACATCTTCGACATATTTACATAAATTTTTGTTTAAAAATAATGAAATACACAACCTTCATCCAACAAAAACATTGTACCAAAAATGGAATATACTACTAAAAGCAAAACTCTACTTTCCGTCTAAGAAATTTATTGACACTTTAAACTGAGTAAACGTATTGATATTTTTAATATGCGAACATGCGTTATTTTTTTGCATCTTAACATTCTGCATGCATCCCAAGAAAGCGTTCTGTGTATTTTAGTTCCATTCCACAAAACCTGTGACCACTCTTCAACGGGGTTTTCGGAGAAAGTTCACAAAAAACATTCCATGCACAAATTCAATTCGCTTTCTCGAGTTGAGTCGCCATTTTGCCGTCATGTCAACAACTGCGCTAGTAGCAGCCTTCGTTTTAATTACGTCACTTCTCCCGGATGTCAAAAACATTTTGAATTTCGACTTGCATTGGAAGACGTTTCATTTCTGTCAGGCTACGCGTTTAATCTTTTTAAATAAATATCTTAAACGTCCCGAATCATTTGTGATCACCCTGTATATAAAATACAATATGCTTCTTACCTCAAAGTCTCCATCTTCAAAGCAGGCAAAGGCCAATATTACGAAATACATATCAGATTAATGGAGATTATTTCTTGATTATTGATTATAAACTGTGAAGAGGCGCTCAGAACAAGCTACGTCCAGTAAATCACTTATTATCAGTGGTAACTGGGGAAAGCAGAGGCGCGGATTATATTTTATTAGAATTATTACCATCTATGAAATCAGAATAGGAAATAATAATGCTTATTCACATACTCTACTAGAGACAATTTCAGACCACGAATAATTAAGCCCCGGTAATCGGCGATCTACTGTATTCGCCTGCAGTTAACGCAGAATTGTTAATTTTACATCCAGAACGACTGAAACTCAACAAGCCCAATCAACATTTGTCTTCCACCATAAATGGGCAAAGTGATTAGCAAATTAATTGAACACCTAAGACCTGACGTAAGATTGGGGACTAGATTCAAATGGTTCAGGATCGAGACCTGTGTCGGGCCTTGCAAATACTATAATGAATGACCTTTGGATTCCAGTAAGAAGGAGAGAATTTCTTGAACAGCTGACCGACTGCTGGCTTCACAAGGACTCTGCCTAACATAGTTAGAAGAAAATGTTATCTGGACACTTCCACGCTTGTGATTTTAGTTTGCTTCGAATTCAACTCGTCGTAAGTTAAGAAATCGCGCCAAATTTACACGAACGAAAGAAGACAAAACTAAGGGGAACTCACTGCACTCAATTTCTTACACAAAGGAGAATAATATGCAGACTAGCTCAACAGTATTTAGATTAATGTACTAAGCCAATCTAATCTACGTGACCTACATTAAAATCCTTCCTACAAGTCGCTCAGTTTTCAATAATAACGAATATAAATGTTTACCTTTCATGTCTATACAGTTTAGCTAATTCAATCATTACCATAAGAAACTGCTCTACATTCAATCACGTTCTATCACCGGACTTAAATAACGGTTATTTACGATGGCCTAATATTTACACTGCAGTGTAGCCATTTTGTTCACAGTAACCTAAAGATGGTAGACCGTGTGATACAAATTTACGTCTTAGACTGAACTTTACAGTGTTTATTATTAAAAGAAAATGGTAGTGCGTAGATAACTAAGAAATGGGTGGGAACTGAAAAAAATACGTCACAAATTACCAAAAAAAAACAGAAACTGAATCCAGAACGTTGAAAATACAAAATCCCATTCCGCATTGTTTCAAAACAGAAACAAATTTCTAAAACTGTTAAGGAGGGCCTACTCATACCTTTCATCCGGGACTCCGTTGAGATTTTATAAATCTGAATTTTTTCCCTATTTTTATCCCTTTCCACTAAAATTCTGCTTGTCAAACCTAAAGATCGTTATGAGTGGTTGAGAAGTTCCAATGTTTGTACTGGGTGCGTATCAAGCCCCTCCTCCTAACGCCAATCAAAATCATCGCTTTCTAGCACGTGATAAAGTGAATAACCAATGTGGCTGCGCGGCGGGCGTCGGTTAACAAGTTCATCATAACTATCTTCATTTCCCTTCCGCCCCTTCAGTACCCTTCCAGAACACTCCCACAACCCTGAAACAAATGTCATGTATATGTTGCATTGCCCAGTACAACGTGGATGTACATTCGAACACTTGTGATTCAGTACGTCATCAGACATCACGCAACCTGCATGGGTCATTATCGTAATTTGAAATTCTGAGACGGACAATTCCGCTCATAGAATTAGTACCAGTTAATAAATCAGTTACGATGTAACGCACGTGTGAAAGCAAACAGACCTCACACGATGTGATTCATTAATCCCTGCAGTTCAATCTTCGTACATACGTAGAGTTTACCATGTACATATCGAGCATTCGTGTGGCTGTGTTCAAATTAATTGCCGCTGCAACGGTCAGACCTTTAAACTGAGGATTATAAATACCAGACGATAACCTTTAAAAAGAAATAATAAGTCACGTAATCATGTCGTAAATTCGTGAGAGAGAATTAAAAAGAATTTTAGTATCAAAGTGTGAACTTGGTTATACGTGATCTTGTGCGCAACCTAGGATGTATTCCTTGTACCGCGCTTGGCTGATGAGAGCCGCAGTGGCTGCCGCCACCCTAGCCGCGCCACCGGATGTCATCATCAACGTCGGCGGTAACAGTGGCGCTGTCCGTCCTACTTCACCGCCGAGACCTGCTTCTACCCATCAGTTCGCGGCCCATCGTGTCGTCTTGGCGTCTCACAGCGGCTACCTCAAGGCCCTTCTTACTGCAGCAACTTCCGGAAGCTCCAATACCATAACCATTGCTGTCCCTAACGTCAGTCCTGAAGCCTTCGCTCCACTCCTTACCTTCATGTACACAGGTTATCTAGACGTAACGCACGATAACATCTACGGTGTTCTGCTAGCAACGCATCTGCTTCATATGCCAAGAGCTCTGGACCTCTGCAGAGCCTTCCTTGTTCAAAATCAACAACCACAAACACAATCCTCGCTTTCAAGACATCCCCCATCCCCCACTTCCCTGCCCACGTTGGTGAAACCTATCCCTAGTCGGAAAATGTTACCAATTCTGCTCGGTCTTGGTAACTTACCACCTCCCCCGCCCCCACCAGCACCCTTCTGGCCACCTCCGACGTATCACCATACATTGCCAACGCCTCAACCACCTCAACTAATGCTCCCATCGGCAGACAACTCTCCTTTCAGGTCAGTCCTCCCAACATCAATGTCTCTAAATATAGTAGGAAGCCAAGAGAATCACGAGCCATTAAAATTATTACAACCTCCTCCATCTGACTTCTGTGCCCAACCTCCATCGCCACAACCCACTGGAAACAACACGAGACAACGCCCAAGATCACCGCTAGCTATACCATCCACATCGACTAGTCGAAGGACCATCTTCTTTCACGATGCATCTCCATCGACGCCATCCAGCGTATCGCCGTGTCTTTCCGGAACTTCATTTTCTTCAGACGATCATAACGTGAACGACCCTCCAGCAGACAAACACAAATCGAGAAAAGAACGAAGTCAACATCAACAACTACCTCAGAAGAAATATCAACAGTCTTCTAAAATAACAGCATGCAAGAAACAGCAATCCAATGACTCCGGTGCCCATGGAACCACAAACAGCAGCAACAGTAAAGTCATCATTGATGTGGCATGCTGCGATGGTCCCGTGCGCTTTCATCGAGTACTCAACGACAACTATGGACTTACTCTCGATGACATCCTTGCTGGTGATTCTCCAGAAGGAAATTCCTCAAGGCATAATCCACCCCTTGAACCACCTCTACAAAATAATCAGGAACTGGGGACTGTTTCACACATTCACAAACCTACAGCTTCAAACACAAGTCTTTCACATCCACAAACAGAACTCAAAGAAGAAACTAAAATAAACGGGAACGCAGATCAACGATTAATGTCAACCGAAGTCAGTAATGAACACACAAAAAGTGAAACACAGCAAAACACAATACCAAAGCAACAATCAGTAATGAATCTTAGTGAATGTGATGATGGGGAAGCAGAAGGAACAGCGACAAATTCAGAAGACAAAAATATAATTAGTAACACGTCTGAACTTCAAGCCACCGACAGAAATAACTCCATCAAAGAAGCAAGTTCTGCAGCAAACCTCAGTGATGGAAACACGTCTTCTTCATCGGCTTCGGTCACGAGCGAGAGAGTTGGTGGTAGCCTAGAGACTGTTTACACTTGCCTGTACTGCAACCACACATTCAAAAGCCATTACTGCTATCAGAAACATGCTCGACGCCACATCAATCCGGTGACGATTGACGTTTCACGACTAGCAGAAAGACTTGGGACCAATAAAGGTGTAGATGTGTGTAAGGTTGTTGGTTCTGAGAAGGATAAGGCAAATGGAAGTGGGGCTGTGCGTCGTGAAGTGCGTCTTCTTGACATGAACGTGCAGTATTACCCGTGCAAAACATGTGGCTCCAAATTCCCAAGTTACTATTTTGTTCACAAGCATCGGAAAATGTGTCACGCTAACGAAGAAAGTGAATCCGTTGTCGGAAGTGAAGAATCGTGTTCACAATCTCAGACAGCGACGTCTGTGTGAAGTCGGCTGATGGGTAAATGAAACGACTGTGAATCGCAGAACAACATATATTTTGATTTTCCAAATTGCATTTCTATTCCGTCAAGTTCCTGTGACAGGAATTCTCTACAACAACAATTCATTCCTTCGTCCATGAAACCTTCCACGTGAACAAATAATGTTAGCTAGACTATGGCTGACAGAACTGTAACCACTCACCAGAAAATATTATTTGACTTCAATAAAGTGATGATCAGAAATCTTTAATTTCTATTTGCTCAACAATATTGTATTAAATATCGTACGCTTATGTGCAGCAAACTTGTGAATATGTGAAAGCGATATGGTCAACAGAATCCTGTAGCTCAGAAATAAAAATCTAAACCTAAAATTCTGCGATACAAAGTTACCTATCATTCTGTAAACCCCTCAATGAGAATTCCAATTTGTTAAACTTCCATTGTGATTCCTAACGTAATGTTATTGGCAGTCAATCCGTTACGTCTATAACAGACTTCCTGCAACTTTTAGTGTTCGTTGAATGTAATCAAACATAAAATCAAATCCAAAATTAATGGTCATTGCTTAACAGTATTAGGTAAATTACACAAAATTTAATATTCATGTTTATACAAATCTCCCCATCCAATTAGATGATGACAACTGGAAGATTTGTATTAGTCATTTCTTTACTCGGCATTGTTGTCTTGGTATACCAACATAACAAGGTTAAGTGTAACTCAAAGCAAACATAACTGCAGTGCACTAAATGTTGTGCAAATGGTGGTCATACTCGGATGACCGACATAAACAATGAAATTTCTTTTCTTCATTCGCATTTGTCCCGCATTTGCAGGGTCTGCGTTTTACCTCTCTTGGAGGTTTATGATTGATCTTTTTTTTTACATTGGTAGAACTCCTTTGCATGAGTGATCAGCCCTATCTGCAAACATCCATGCCTTGAGTGGGAGTCGAACCCGCGGTCGCAGCGGCCAGGCGCACGAGGTCCGTGCCTCAGACCGCGTGGCCACTGCGCTGGCAACAGAAACAATGAAATTAAATCTCAAAAATTATTGATTTCAGTAGCACATTTTTAGCTGAAATTGTAGGATACTGCAAAAATAAAAAACAAAAAACAAAAATATTCTCCGAAGGGCCAATATTGTGCTTCTCATTTATTTCAATCGAAATATATTCTTCCAGAGGTTTCGTGCAATTTATATAGTTACCACTGTAAACTACATTTTCCTAATTAAAAATTATTTCAGGTTTAATAAATCTATGGGCTTGCCTCATCAATACCATAATCTCTAGATTTCCCACCTGATAATCCTATACTTCTGCTTAAAACAAAATTTGAAATCAGGTTTTCAAAAATTGCATCATAAGCAGGTCCCCCCCCATACAAAATTACCTTAATATGAATACATGTTCACAATTATTTCCATACATACCAAACAATGCTTTGAATGATCAATCAGGCTGCTAAACAGTCAAAATATAATATTCCAGAGTTTGTCTAGGAACTTCAATAAAGTTGCCAGAAAACTTCTAGTTTGTCTAGCTACTTGCATGGCAATTAAACCTGATATGAAGGAAAGGGCAAACAAATTTAATTATCTCAAAATCCCACTTAACTCCTATTACTACTACTACTACTACTACTAGTCATACTGCTATGACTGCCGCCAACGCCAGCTCCACCAAGACCAACGAAGTCTACACCCACCATAGCATACCACACGTATTGCCACTCACAAAGAAACAAAACACCATCTAAAATTGAAATTTCTCTATGTCTCTGATAAACTTAGATTTAGCAGATTTTTAATGCATAATTATTTTTTAGTCATTATCACATCCTGTAATTTCAGTAAAACAACAGACAAATTTAAATCCAACATAAAACTAACTAGATGGCTTACTGAACCCGAAGGTTCATCACCGAATTAACCAAAGCCCTCCACCGGACCGTGTCCTGGGCCAACAAAATCCAGTCTTCTTCAACTCCTATCTCAACGACATAAAACACTGCTAATATATTCCAGTTAAACAACAAGAATGTGAAGTGAAGCTAAAAGACACCAAGTCATAAACTACAGCAACATATCAAAATATATTTCCCACAGAACAAACACAATGCACAGGTAAATTTGACTAAATAACTTACAATTAAAAACATTCATAACCTCTTCAAGAGTCAGGGTAGCTCAATCAGTACAGTGACTGACAATGAACTGCACAAGGGTTTGATCCCAGAAAGGGCAGAGGATTCTTCTTCAGACCTCTGTGCCCAGACTGGCTCTGAGGCCAATTATGGTGTGA